GTTGACATTGAATTGCAATAAGTTCAAATTGATCACAGTCCGTCAAATGGAGATACCCTTGAACGCGAAAAGTGACAGTCTCTTTAGTAGCGCGTATAGCCACCTTGAGCTTGCACACAGGCCGTGCAACGTAGCCTCATTGAGTTCACTAGAGTCTGAAAGAATGCCTGATGCAACTGGTTCTGCTCAAACACCAATCTCTATTCCACTTGTGCAAGTGTGAGTGGCTGTCTACCTTCAGCAATCCTCCGTCCAATTTCGTCCCAGAATGTTCAATGGGAGCCATATCCGGGGAAAGAGACGTTAATGTTGCTCTGAGCCAGATAAACCATCAACACCCTTGCTGTGTGAGGGCTGCAAACGTCGCTGGCGTTGTTGACGTGCCAAAATTGGCCCCACATATGGCCTTCGGCAGTGGATTCCAGCCTAAGACGACGCCTAATCGTATCGCTTGGCACTGCTCCCCTTGACCCAAGAACTAAGGCTGCTGTTACTGTTGCTGCTTGAGTTCGGTTCCTTAGATGAGTGACCCGGATGAACTGATCTTGCGCATGAGTTGTCACTCGTTGCCGTCCGGTATGGGGACAATCAGCAGCAACCCGCTTTGCTGATGACGTTGAGCTAGTCGTGTAATGGTGGTAAGATGACAGCCCAATTGTCTAGCTACTGCGGTTGCAGTGCTACTTCCGTGTAACTTTCCAATGGCCATTCCCCTCTGCTCAGTCGTTAGTCTAGGCATCGTTTGTGTGGCGTGTACACCTCCTAGCGTCAATACTGCACTGTTTTTTGACACAAACTTTTATAAAGGATACCTCAGAGTGAAATGCATGCTTTTCTTCCATAACCGTCGATGCACGTGCTAAAATTATGGTTTTGCTGCACTGTTGGTGTGTTTGTGCGATTGTTTCGCATGGACGTCAAATTGCATGACATCATCTCATCTGGGATCATTACGTCACTTTACCATGAACGTTCCATAAACATGAACGCTTACCTTCATGGGATTTCATTTTTTCGAAACTTGCGTTTCTTTTGCTGTTCAGTATACATGTATGGTACAATAACCCTGTCTAGAATGTCAGTAATGTACCGATGTCCATTCATAAATAACATATGAGAATATGTGTTTATATCAAATATAAACAGTACAACATAAAAGAGTAAATAATATAATTATCTAAATGAGCTCTAATTATGTGCTGCTTCAATGTGTTACTTGCAACAGTACCATTACTGTCAAGCACCTGTTGCAGAGTTTTCGCTCATTCCACAACGTTTTTATGTAATTCAAACGATTGCTGAACTTTTCAATAGTGTTTGTAACCATTTAATGTTAGCATATCTGAAGAAAATTAAATTGTATGATAAGATGCTGAATTTGAATTTTAAATATACGTTATTTACAGTTTACTGTGATAATAGACTGAGGGTTTAGTGATCATCGTCATTACTTTTATTGTGTAGTCGTTTCTAAAGGAAATATTGGATTTTCTCGACGCCAGTAGCTGCAAGACTGTTGATGCGGCTTAAACAACACTTACTCACTCACTCACTCATTCGTGGTGCTTTGGGTTCTGTAATCAAGAAATTGAAGACGAGGATATTTCCTGGATGCACGCTTCATAGAAAAGCCGGTCATATCCTCTTCTTCCAGCCTTTCTTTTGTCTATATTCTTTCCTATCTAAATATCCTACTCACAGGTTGCAAAGGATAACCGTTTTAAAAATTAAAACTTCGCATTCTCACATGTTTGTTCATCTGTTGAAACAACCAATGGTTTTACAGCATGAAGACAACTTTCATGAACAGAAGTGCCACATAACATGATCAACAATCAATCAGATCGCCCAGCTAAAACACAAAACAAAACAAAACAACAACAACAACAAAACCCCAGAGAATTAGAAAAAAACCTACACACCCAAAACCACTCTCTCAGTATCATATCTGTGATCCACGTAATGCGATTACAGTTTGGCACCGTCGTGTCATGTTTCCAGTAAGTGTTTGGATGACTGAAGGGGGAAATGTTCCGCTCTTCAGTGAGAGCATTGCCGAGTTCCTGTAGAATATCGGCAGGACAGCAATTAGTTTGAGGGCGATTTAAAGCTTGTTCCCCTGTGTTCCGTACGGTTGCGGTCTGGTGACCAGGCTGGCCACTCCATGCGGTCTTATGTTGTAAGTAGCCATCAACGACCCCACCACAATGGTATAATGCGTTGTTGTCCATGAAGATGAAGTCCGGTCAGATTGAACCAGCACACGGTCTCAGGTATGCATCCAGAACGTCATCTCTATAATGTACATATGTCGTGGTGTGGCACAGTAGGACATGGAGATCGGTCCCTCTCTACTTCTCGGTTCTAATCATGTCCCAAATCATGACTGAGCCTCCTCCATGACCCATGTAGGGTCTCCATGTTGGACTATACGTTGAGATCCTGAAATCTAAGCTCCAAACTCTTTGTCCACGACGACTTTTAGGTCGAGGCAGTATCTCCATTCATCCGTTAAAGGTACTTGAGTCAAAGGTACCCAGTCTAGTCCTGTCCATTTGCTGTGATTTTAAGCCATGTATCCAAACATGTCGGCCTGTGATAACGGGTTAGCTGGCCCTTCCTGACTGGAGACAAACCTCATAGAAACGATTACGCACAGTCTTAACGCTGTTGGCGTTCCGCATGTCATGTCTGAGTGTCATAACAGTCACAAATCAATGACGTCCCCCCTTTAGGGGATGGGATGGGTGTGGGTGTTTGTTAGCCTAGTGGTTAGAGCGTTCGCCCGTCACGATTCGATTTCCCACATGGGTACAATGTGTGAAGCCTATTACTGGTGTCCCCCGCCGTGATATTGCTGGAATATTGCTAAAAGCGGCATAATACCATACTCACTTGCTGCAGTTAGGAGAAACCTGATTTCCCGCTGTGTGGTGGAACGCTGTCGATCACATACCTGTCTCTGGATCCAAACGTCTTGTACCAAAGCCTTGCTGATCACACTTGGGCAGACACATACATACATCTACGTGCAAAGAAAACTTACATCTACGTAAAGATGGTTCTTATGTCTACGTGTAGATGATACTTACAACTATGTAAAGATGTTTCTTACGTTTAAGGGGCGGTGGGGTAGCCTAATGGTTAAAGCATTGGCTCGTCACGCCGGAGACCCGGGTTCGAATCCCCACATGGGTACAATGTGTGAAGCCCATTTCTGGTGTCCCCCGCCGTGATGTTGCTGGAATATTGCTAAAAGCGACGTAAAACCAAACTCAGTCAGTCAGTCTTACGTTTACGTAAAGACGATTCTTACATCTACGTATAGGTCATGCTTACATCTATGAAAAGGTGACACGTAAATATGTTACTTACATTTACGTAGAGAGGGTACTTACGTCTACGTCTACGTAAGGATGATGCGTACATTTAGGTAGTTGATACTACTCACATCTACGGAGTGCGTTTGTTTGTTTAACGCCGCACTCAGCAGTATTGCTACTATCCAGACAATCGAGGGATGGCCAGACCACCCAATGGTCAACAGCATGAGCATCGATCCTCGGAGTTGATACTGTTACCTACGTATACCACGTCTATGGTATTATAATCGTGATAATAGTTACTCTGACAGTGATGCTCGACTGTAGATGATACGGTCTTCAGTGTAGATTAAATAACACCATCCATGTAGATGGAAGTATCAATGTTTGTGTTTTCAGAATGTGGCACCAATACGCTTCCATAGGTTTTAGCCACCTCATGGACGTTTACTGACGAGTGGGTTTTCTTCCAGTGAATATCAGGGGGAAAATATAATGTAGATGTTGACATTTATTCTTTTTCAACACTAATAATGGAATAATGAAGACAACATTTAATTACATTTTCAACACACACGCGCGTGCGCACGCACGCACGGACACACGCACGCGCACATATCTTATATCTTTTTTCCCTTCTGTATGAGGTGTTAAGTTATTATTTTATCACATGCAGCCCAATCACGTCTATATATTTACAGGTAGGATCCATATCTGTTCCGATGAGCAAGTCTAGAACACCTTTAAAAAAATCATGTTCAACAATAAAACTTGAGACCTTTGTTGAACAACTCAGGTACGTAAATATTTCGACCTATTGGAAGGGCTGGGGGTGACAACACCTGTTGCGTTGTGTTACATCCTGTATAGACACAATGCGATATATAGGACAGGTCAAGTGTAATCGATCCCCTGTATATGCAGCCTGTACCAGTTACTGCAAGGTTTACAGTTAAATGTGCATATTAAAAGTTTGTCTCTGAAGTATACCCGCACATCGCGTAATGTTCAGATACCCTTGCCATATTCAACAGGTGCGTGTACGCGCGTATGCACGTGTGTGTGCGTGAGAGAGCGTGTGAGAGTGTGGGTGAGAGAAAGAGTGAGAGTGCGTGTGTATGTATGTGTTTGCGAGAGCGAGAGGGAGAGAGACAGACAGACAGAAAGAGTGAGAAACAGAGAAAGAGACAGACGTACACAGAGAGGGAGAGACAGAGAGAGAGACAGACAGATAGAGAGAGAGGGAGAGAGACAGAGAGAGTGAGAGGCAGAGCGAGAGAGACAGAGAGAGGGAGAGAGACAGATCGACACACACGACACACACACACAGAGAGAGAGAGAGAGAGGAGAGAGAGAGAGACAGACAGAGAGAGAGACAGACAGATAGAGAGAGGGGAGAGACAGAGAGAGTGAGAGGCAGAGCGAGAGAGACAGAGAGGGAGAGAGACAGATCGACACACAGTGTGAGAGAGAGAGACAGAGAGAGAGACAGACAGATAGAGAGAGAGGGGAGAGACAGAGAGAGTGAGAGGCAGAGCGAGAGAGACAGAGAGAGGGAGAGAGACAGATCGACACACGACACACAGAGAGAGAGAGAGAGAGAGAGAGAGAGAGAGAGAGAGAGAGAGAGAGAGAGAGAGAGAGAGAGAGAGAGAGAGAGAGAGAGAGAGAGAGAGAGAGAGAGAGAGAGAGTCGTACACCCTATATATGTTATCTTACTTAGTCACATTATTCGTTCTACCTATTTAAGAAATACAGTTCGCTCTACCACCATGTATAGAGTAATAAAGCACACTTTCGCCCTGAAATATTATAGTTAAAGCACGTGGACGCTTGCGTACACGGGCAATGTGAACGTCGCATTTCTAATACCAACGTAAGTTTAGATCAGTACATGGAGATGAAGCTGACTGGTCACGCGACATTCCACGATTGCATTGTGGGAATGTAAACATTGCGAACGTTACCGTCTCGCTGTAAAATTGTGAGTCAAACTGAGACATTTTATCCGTCGGAAAACATAAACGTAATGTTTCCACCAGTGATGTTAGCTGAGAGAAGCAACTGCAAACCAGAAACGGGATGCAACGGTGTAGTTTACTGCCAGGAGGCTGTACGAGGCGGTGACAACTGACATGCATCGTGACGTCGGTTACATTGTGACGTAATGCAAAAAGTGCACACAATCGTCTGATAAAGTACTGTCGGCGCCTTTGATCTTTCACCGAAGCATCTTAGAATTCTAATTAATTTAGTAGTTATGCACATTATGAATTCTTGCTTTTAACTGCCAATTATTGGTTTTCCGACGTGGAAAACATAGCTTATTGTATGGGTAGCCGGTTGGTTTGGTCCAGATTCGAATGTTTACAGATCGACGGACAAAAAAAAGAAAAAGAAAAAAAAGATAAAGGAAAAAACAAACCCAAAAAGCACCAAGTCACAAATCAAACAACATTCACTTAAACAACATGTAAGTACTATGTCCGAACATTAAACTCGGGAGGATATGGTGCTTATTCGGTAAGAACGATCCTCCCTCTGTGGTTTTATTGTGAGGTTGTCTCTCTGTAGAATCGAGATATCTTAATATAATTTGCAACCAAGCGCTTTAACGTTCACTCCTCTGTTAATACTCACATCGATTACTAATTGGTAAAGCATAATCTTGTCGTCCGATAGGTTAGGTCCCGGGTTCGATTCCCAAACATAGGTACCATGTGCAAGGAAATAAGCGATGAATAACCAGCTCACTTCTCCATGGAGCTCCAGGACGGCAGTAAGAAATGTAGGCTACTCACTATCTTCTTGTCCAGCAACTAAGATTGAAATACAGGGATCATGGGGATTATAAGGCATTTTTCAAGACACATTGGCAGACAGACAGACAGACAAGTTTATTCAGTAAAAGGCCACAGGCCCATCATACAGTCATTTGCATATGATATAGATAGTTTAGTGCACATGCTGTGTACTGACTGACTGACTGAGTTTGGTTTTACGCCGCTTTTAGCAATATTCCAGCAACATCACGGCGGGGGACACCAGAAATGGGCTTCACACATTGTACCCATGTGGGGATTCGAACCCGGGTCTTCGGCGTGACGAGCGAACGCTTTAACCACTAGGCTAGCCACCGCCCCACATGCTGTGTAAGAGGAACATTTCTAATGCGCTGAAGTACATGATACAGAAAAATACTGACATCTCTTATGATACAGTCATTATGTGTTTTCATAATGTAAATAAAATTGGCATTTGGATCAAAATCAGTCAAATATTTCTGAATATATCATAACCTTAAATCAGAAAAACGTTCACACTTAAGGAGTACATGGAATTCATCTTCAATAACATTTTTGTCATCCAGTTTACAAAATAAAAATAATCTCTCATTGTAATTAACTTTATTGTATCTTCCAGTTTCAACAGCTAAATTAAAATTACCACATCTAAATTTAGAGAGTGCAGATCTGAGATGTAAAGGAATATCAGAATTTAAATACCTTTCCACATTTAAAAATGTCTTAAATTGGGAGTAATAAAAACACTTATTAGAATTTTGAATTGAAGTGGACTAACATTGTTTAAAATTATCCGAAAGTCTCTGCTTTTACAAGGATATGAAATATTCAACATTGCCAACATCCTGACTGATCCATGCATAGCCAAAACCATACTTAAAACAAATATTTCTGACACAAGTTGCCCAAGTAGTGCGGCCAACATAATCTAAGGACTTGAGCATAATATAACAATGTTTTGGCAGTCTATTATAAGGCATATACAATAGGTGATACCAGTATTTATATTAATTACTTTAGTCATATAAGTAATTTGTAGAGGAAGTCTGCCACAATCACCGAGAACCATGTTATTACAGGTAAATTAACCAACTTTCAAGAAATATTTACAAAATTTTACCTGAACAGACTCAATGATGCTACAATAGTTAGTACCCCAAATCTCAGACCCATAACACAAAATAGGTGAAACCGTACAGTAAAAAATCTTAAATAAGTCTTTACAATTTACTCTTCTCATCTTTTTTTGAAAACCATTTACAGAAAATATTGCCTTATTAGCTTGAGATACCAGACAGCTTTGCGCTTTACTCCATACAAGCTTTGGTGTAAATACAAGTCGTAGATATTTATAGAAGGATACAGTTTCAATAGGATTACCATTACAGAACCACTTTTCATATTCCCGTAATGGCCCACCATTTCTAAAAACAAGAACTTTTGTTTTACTAAGATTAATTGACATTCCAGTTTGTTTACAAAAACATTCAAGTGCATTTTTCTTCTGTTGTAACTGATTACAAGTATCAGAAAGTGCAGAAACATCATCTGCAAACATAAGTGAACACAAATTGTTAAAATCAGATGAAACATTAACACCTATACCACCTTCCTGTTCCATTAAGGAAAACAACTTATAAATAAATATGATAAACAGCTGTGGGCTTAACACACAACCCTGACGGGTACCAATATTACATGTAAAACACTTAGATTAACCATTTGAGGTTCTAACACATGCAGACAAACTGCTGTACATTGATGATATTATATTAATATATAATTTACCAGAAATACCAACTTCAGCTAAAGATTGCAAGAGAACATCATGTCTTATTGTGTCAAAAGCCTTTGAGAAATCAATAAAAAGGCAATAAAACCTACCTCTCTTTTTACCACAATATGTTTGGGCTAAAGCCTGAAGAGAGAAAATATGATCAATTGTGGAGTACCCTGCTCTGAAGCCTGCCTGGGACTCATTAATAATTTCATGTGCATCGCACCATGATTTTAAACGCTTATTCAAAATATAGGGAAATGTTTTACAAATAGAATCAATAAGAGATATACCCCTATAATTATTTGGGTTACTTTTACAGCCAGATTTGAACAGAGGGCATATAATACTCTTGCCCCAACCACATGGAAAATTACCACTATCAAATATCTGATTAAACAATACTGTAAGAAAAGGTTCAATGGAGGCACTTGATGCTTTAAGAAACTCATTTGCTATACCATCAGGTCCATGGGACTTATTGTTAGGAGAATGTAAAATGTGAAACAAAACTTCCTGCTCAGTAATATCAGCATTAAGTATTGACACATCAGTAGCATTTACAACATGTGGTGAGACAATAGGTAAAACATCAGGTTGGTCAACACAAAGTAATGATAGAAAGTGATCAAACCACTGATTCCATGAGATAGATGGGGGAAGACTGTCACACATTCAACAATTTCCAAAATTGGCTCGAGTCACTGCTGGAATACACTAGTTTCTGTCTCTGCTTACACTGATAAGTCTCCTTTTTGGATATGAATGTCTTTTTAAATAGTTTTTGCAGTTGTCGAAATATATCCAAGTCCTGATTATTGTCTCTGTGTGCATGTAATGCAGAATATGTATCGTGTTTTAGGGCATCCCACCAGGGGGGCCGTGATATGTCCCTCTGCTTATCAAAAAACTACGATACAAACTTCTAGTATGGGGGCAGTTTGTTGTATCACACTAACTAAGAGAATAACTGCTTCATCAATATTGGTATACACAAGGTCAGTTAGTGTAACAGACATATCTAAAAATTTGTTGTGAAACTGTGTTGCAAATTGACTATTACTGTCCTTAGACCATACATATCTAACCCATGAATCCTCCTCAGTAGTGGCCTGCTGATTAGCATCTGTATTAGAAGTTATGGTACATTCAGAGTTAGACAGAACACATGAGTGAGTGAGTGAATTTAGTTTTACGCTGCACTCAGCAATATTCCAGCTATATGGCGGCGGTCTGTAAATAATCGAGTCTGGACCAGACAATCCAGTGATCAACAGCATGAGCATCGATCTGCGCAATTGGGAACCGATGACATGTGTCAACCAAGTCAGCGAGCCTGACCACCCGATCCCGTTAGTCGCCTCTTACGACAAGCATGGGTTACTGAAGGCTCATTCTAAACCGGACCTTTACGGGTCCAGAGCACATTAAATATCAAGAGTGCAGTAGAGGGGGAAATGACAAGAAAGGTCCAGAGTACCTATCCCAAAATTTCTAACCTTGTGGAGTAATGATGAGCTTCCAATCATATAGACATATAGACACATTGAGTGCTTTGGAACTTAAACTTATTTCATCGACTCTTCTAAATACGCTCAAATCGTCCCGAATCATAGAGTGAGTGAGGGAGTGAGTTGTATTTTACGCCGCTTTTAGCAATATTCCAGCAATATCCCGGTGGGGGGACACCAGAAATGGGCTTCACACATTGTACCCATATGGGGAATCGAACCTGGGCCTTCGGCAGAGTGAGTGAGTGAGTGAGTGAGCAATTTTCCAACAATATCACCCGTGCCCCTTTTGCATGCCGATTCTGGAAACTCCAATGGCGTGGTCTGACACTAGATCAGCTTGTAGACCGACCGCCTATCTGATGGAATACTATGATCTAGTCGAGTACAGATGCATTGTGATGCAACTCCAGTATCTACTACGTAAGTGTACACAATATCTGAGTGTGAGTGAGTGAGTGGCATTTGAATTATGTTACAATCCTTTGTTACAATCAATAAATACCAAGGCGGGACTCAAACAGCAGATGGACGTGACAAGTGACCCCACTAGGCTATCTCAGCGATATATCTATAGTCTATATTTTCCGCGATAAGCAACCACGTATATCCTCAGTGGTCGGCGGCCCTGGCCTGGGAATCCCCGTTGTGAAACAAAGCGTATTTCGCACTTCTACAAACTCACTATCAAACGAATGACCTATTTTTATTTTTTTTTAGTTAACAACCACAGGAAGAGAGTTTATTATGTAGCCAAAACCTGACAATGCAGTCGAATGTCTAGAATGTTGAAAGAAACATTATAATTTTGATAAAAATTAAGAAGTATAAAAATGCATAATTTCTTTATGTTTCTTCCGTGAGTTTATTTTTTCATATTACATATTAAACCCTATCTGTGGACCTTTCTGGGGAATTATAACTTTATACGCAAAAGTCTGAACTGGATTTATCATTAAAGTATCCATTTTATAAAATGAGAAGTATAAATGATTAATTGACATTTAACCATTTTTAGGTACAAAGGTGATTGATATTTGGCCTTTTGAAATTGTATGGATAGTAAACATTAAGAGATTATAACATGAAAACATCCTTGAAGAATTATAAACAAGGAAACATTAAGAAACACACGGAAGATGATTAGAACTTGCGAAAATGATAAGAGATCTCTGCTTATATCGTTGTTAAAGGTTCACTTGATTTATATCCAAGTTCCATGGACTTTACACTTCCGATAAGTTATCTCTAAGTTAGAGAAGCCGGGGCATAAAGGGTGTGACGTAGGATTCAAGGGAGACCACTCTCTTACAAAGTCAACTTCCTGGTTAGCTGACAAGGGAAAGTGATCAATGTTATGATCTTCGCCTCTGCTTCGTATGGCATTGGTGCCGAGGCCATTGGCTTGACATGATTGACAGGTGAAATCAACATGTAAGTACAAGTGGACTGTTTTATTTGAACACTGTGTTGGAGGGTGTGAGAATATTTCGTAACTATTTCGTTCGTGCCGTCGAACGAAAATCGAAACATGTCGCTGAACTTCTGTGCTCTAAACTTTACCAGTTTACAGAACAGAAGTTGAGTGCCTTGGACGAAAGTGATTAAAACTAGCATAACATGTTCCTTGAAAAGTTACGAAATAGCTACAATAATGGTAAAACAAATTGATTATCGAAATGATATTGTGTCATCTCGGAAATTATAGAACTGAAACCCAGTTCTGTCAATGTTTTCGATAGTAAAGTCAACACTGGGGTGGGTAGACATCCGTTACACCCTAACCCTAAACCACTCAAAATAATCCTAATAAAAAAACATACACGTTGACCGGAGCCAGTGTAATTCATTCTTACTGTGTTTGTGTAAATGACGATCTGTTCACATGGAATAATTATGTTTGAAACAAATACTGCCAGTGTAAATTATAATGGGCAAATTTGTGTAGTAAAAACATTTTCATGGAAATAGTTTCTTTTGAGAAATATGGTATAATGGAACAATTTCACTACAGAACAGATAGATCTATCCTGTTACATTTTCACAACGGAATCAGTGCAGTCACAGTACTGTTTTAGAACACAGACAAACTAAAATGGACTTATCATTCTGGTCATACACAAATTAATGTGGAAACTGACTCAATACTGCTGTTTAAAGTCACAATTGAGGGCTGCAACACTACTTCGAAATGTTTTGTCCCACATAACACAAATACAACAAGGAATGTTCCAGGGATTTCTTTTGTTAATTACACTTCAGTGTTATATTATGTATACTGGCTAGCGAACAGTTATCGCCATATTTTAGCGGTATTTACAAAATTACTCCGCCATTCGTTAAATTTATGAAACAGAATTAATTATGATACTTAATAAGCTCTTCACCAGTGTGTCCAGCCTGTTCACTGCAGCCGATCGTGTTTTTTCATAACGCGGAAGGGAATCATGGCAGTACAAATAGATGTTTTCTCTCAAATAACTGTAACAGTTATCACCATTTCTGAATTTCTCAAGCCATTCGTGTAGTAATATACATTTATATCAATAGTAACCTCGAATAATTGATTGTGTGACTATTTGAGTGTTTTTACAGTAGATTGATAGGGAATGAGAAACATTTAATGACTTGTGAACTTGAACTTGATATTATATAATATAGTTCGTGTGACATTCCCCCGACTAAGTTAAATATATTTTATATCATTCATAATTTTATCTTTAATTTTTCTCTTATGTTACTCACCGAGAAGAATTTTTTTCTTTTGCTTTCCTTTATTGTTGTCAAATATCATGGGGAAAAAATACCAGAATTGTAATTGACCGGAACTGCGCACATGTGATACTGGTGTATTGGCGATAACTGTTACATGACAATAACTGTTCACTAGCCAGTAGTACAACCAGAATTTGAAAGGTATCAGAACCGCAAAGGTATTGGTGCTGAGAAGACTCCCATTCTGTAAAACAGACTTACTGCTGTCATAGCGTTACAATTGCTTTAGGAACAGCACCCTGGTATTCTGATCATTTGAATTTTA